AACATTTATTTTTCTTTTACTTTGAATGAACTCAGTCACCGCTGGAAGAATCCGGGTGCTATTGTGATGCCAACGCGTAAAACTTTCTCAATACATTGAATTTAGAAACTGGTAATTGTGAGAACAAAACATTGATTCTTATAGCGTATATCGCAGACGTGTATGATTTCCTCTTTTCCTTGTATTTAACATATCTTGAAGCCAGGTACAAAGAGAGACATTGTTGTGTTTTGAAGAAGAATGGCTGTTTCTTTACCTCGTTCTCGTTCTGAAAACGTGTTAAAGGTTAAGCCACAGCACGCGCAAGGTGGTAGGAAAGATGCGAACACTTTTTCGGCAAGCAGCCCGGAGCTTCGTTCTATGTTGGTGAGTACTTTGCTATGATTTGTGTGCGTGTGAGTCAGCGTTTGCTTTAAAAGTTTCTTACGCTGGGTAAGAGGTTACGTTTCTTTAAAAAAGAACAACATGCTTTATTGCCTTGTAAACGGCTTATGGTAACACAGCGTATCTTTCTGTCTGTGTTTCGTTGTTGTGGTTTTGTCTGTTGAACCAGAATGCCGGCAAACTAATAGTATCAACAGGTGTCACATCAAGCGTCTACACATAAGGTGTTGGTAACGCTCTTCCTATTTCGGAAATACCCGGTTCGATTGCAACAGCTGATTTAGCAGGATACGTAGATATTAACAATCATCTGCAGTGCCGACCGGTCAGTCAGTAATTGCAATCCACTGAACGCAAAATTGCCTAGTAATATAACAAACAGCCAAAATACTGGGTGTTAGCTCTGCAACGTCCTGTAAAGGATAAAAGAATGAATTTTATCATGCTGAAATGCGTGGGTGGTCATTGTTCACGATCTCTCAAGATTGCAATTCTCCGGTCAAATACAGGTCTAGCCTTATATGCCCAATACATAACAGGACACTGCAGGCTCAACTACCACATGCATAAAATAAAGATTGTACAGACCCCACAGTGTGCCTGTCAGACAGGACCACAAACACCTGAGCACATTCTGCAGACCTGCCCACTCTACCTGCAACTTCGAAAAGACACCTGGCCTCAAGAGCAAAGTGTGCAGAGCAAGCTATGGGGAACCTTGCAGGACCTGCAGCTGACATGCGAGTTTATAGAGGCAACCCACCTGATGGTCTGATCTGAGCATACGAAACCGAACGCAAAGAAGAAGAAGAAGAAGAAGAAGAAGAAGAAGAAGAAGAAGAAGAAGAAGAAGAAGAAGAAGAAGAAGAAGAAGAAGAAGAAGAAGAAGAAGATGAAGAAGAAGAAGAAGAAGAAGATAGAAGAAGAATAAGAAGAAGAAGAAGAAGAAGAAGAAGAAGAAGAAGAAGAAGAAGAAGAAGAAGAAGAAGAAGAAGAAGAAGAAGAAGAAGAAGAAGAAGAAGAAGGCGTGGAAAAAGGGCTTTTTTTTCCAACTTTACAAATCAATATATGCATGTTTTAAAACAACTGGACCTCTAAGACCTTATGCTCACACTTAATCGTTGGTTAGGGGACTGAATATCGAGCCTCTTCCAGCAAGAATATTGGCCCTAAATGCATGGCTGCACGGACAGTTGAAAATTTAACAAAGTTAGCTCGCCGCTGTTAAAATGTAAATTTTAGAATATCCATCCATATAAATTTGAGTGCATCCTGGTAAAGATTCGAGATCCCAGCAGTCAAGACAAGCCCGTATTTGGTCCGTTCCCCTCCCTAAACAACCTAGAAAGGGTCTCCCAAACAGCCGAGGAAATGATCTCCCCAACAGCCGAGGAAATGATCTCCCCAACAGCCGAGGAAGGGTCTCCCCAACAGCCGAGGAAGGGTCTCCCCAACAGCCGAGGAAGGGTCTCCCCAACAGACGAGGATGGGTCTCCCCAACAGCCGAGGAAATGATCTCCCCAACAGCCGAGGAAATGTCTCCCCAACAGCCGAGAAAATGATCTCCCCAACAGCCGAGGAAGGGTCTCCCCAACAGCCGAGGAAATGATCTCCCCAACAGCCGAGGAAGGGTCTCCCCAACAGCTGAGGAAGTGTCTCCCTAACAGCCGAGGAAGGATCTCCATACCTATAGTACCCGCTGTCATCTGGCTAACAACTTGTCTTGACTCATCCCCCCCCCCCCTCTCTCTCTCTCTCTCTCTCTTTGCACCCCCCCCCCCCCCCCCAGTCCAAAAAATTCTCACTACCGGAGATTGAGCTCTATTCTCGATACCCTCATACAGAGCGCTGTAGTGGTTAGTGCCCTTGTTTGTAGTCATAGGTGCCAATAGTCATCGAGATGGGTGTTTGGAAAAACTGCTTTAGATTCCTAGGTTCTTTCGTAGTTTAGTGGAGAAACAAATTTGTCCACGTTTAACCAAGCTGAAAATAGCCTCGGTTGTAATTGTGGTCTGGTTTGATTTTGCGTTAAGTTTAAATGCCTAAAGTGTTTATGTGCCAGCAGTTGGGATTTGCTGTGCCTAGCTGTGTGATTTTGGCCCCCTGAACAGGTCTGGGTCCTCCATTGTTGTCCCGTGTTTCCCAAATAAGGGTTCAGCTTGACGTCACCAATATCCTGTCTTATGGGTGTAATTGTGGTTGTACTCCTTGCATGTGATGTAATCTGGCGTCTGTGGCTTAGGCGTTGCGAACGCGCTTCGTAATGCCGGGACACCCGGTTCGATCCCAGCTGCGGATTATTTGTCTGGCCTAGGTTCCGACAGTGGTACCGGAAGTTGACCGTTTAGAAAGCAGTGGCAAAATACTGAAAGTAAAATTTGCCTAGAAAAGCCACAACAGCGAAAGATTGCTGGGGTTGGTTCTGCAACATCCTGTAAAGGATACACAACTAACTCCTTACATCACATGTGGCAGTGTTCTTTCGTGTCTTCTGTCCTTCAGATCTCGTCCTCACTTAAGTCATTGATTCCTCAGCCGGGATGCGGAGCGGAGGTGAGAAACCACCCTTGGTGGCGCATCAAGACTAGGGATCGTACTGGTCTAGATCTATCTACATTTCATCGGTTTTTTCTAGAAACAGGTTCTCAACTAGGGGCCAGGTCAATACGTAGATAGGATCGATGTAGACTTTGAAGTCGGACTACATCTGCCAACGAGACGAGGAACAAACATTATGAATACAGTTAAGCCGAGAGTAAACATGATCTGCAGATAAAAGTATTAAAAAAAAAAACAGTAACGATCCTTTCTCACGCCTTTTAGGTGTATCGGTCTTACAAGGAAGAGCGCCAATATTTACAGGGCGCTAGGTGGGTAATGGTGGTGGTCAGCATTACGCCGGCCGTCTTTGCTTTCCCAGGACAGCCATCCTGAGAAACCATTTTAGGCTGGGTCGACCTGCGACGCCCCATACCACGATAAAAATCAACGCAGCCAGCTGTGGGTTTCGATCGCGGTACGTTGGATTTACGAGTCGGACTCGCAACGCCTAAGCCACGGACGCCGCGTGCAGATAGTCCTAGAACTTTACCAAAGCTCTTCTTCTTCGCGTTCATCAGCTGTAAACTACAGCTGAAAGTTCTGGTTGTTTGTCCACTTCTGGACTTTAGTCCTTTTGTAGACGTTGAGTACTAGCGTGCACATCCTTTTTACAAATCTGTCTTATTTGTAAGCAGACTGTAGGTTTCTAGCCTCTCTGGCAGACGCACTCCGACCTTGAATGAAACACCCATAATTAGTCGACTTCTACGGCATGTTTATTAGGGAGGCAGTGCTCTATACCCTTCAACCGCCTCCCATAATTGGGACCCGTTACCGACAACGGAAAAGCAAAGTTCAGAAATGGACGAATCCCTCGGAGTTTACGCCAACGCTTACAGTCGATGAACGTGCAGAAGAAGAAAGGTAGGTAGGTAGTTGTACCCAATCAGGACATCACACAAGCGATAAACACCCGGTGACACAAAGTGCCACCATGGGGATGAGGATCACCCGTAGAGAGAAACCCCTTTCAGCAGTTAGGTCATATCTATGGCTAGGCCATATTTATGCCCCGGCTATATTCGGGGCCCCCGGTAGAAGCCAGAGTGGGGCTTCAAATAACAAAAAATTTTACCCCCATGGGGACGACGTTGTTAGGAAGAAGAAAGATTCCCAGGTGTACTAAGTCTACAAATGTATTCGGGCATTTCTGTGAGTAGAAAAATCGTCCGTCGCAGCAAACACGTTATCACCCTACAGGCTGAAAAATATATACATAAATTTTTAGTTGAACAATCTTAAAAGTCTATTGGTAAGCACCAGCAACGAGATAACAATTCGAATTTTGAGAGCATGCATCTTCCCTGTGGCTACATACGGATGTGAGTCGTGGACTATCTCTCAGTCCTTAAGAAAGAGAATAGAGGCTTTTGAGCTAAAATGCTATAGAAAAATTCTCAGAATATCTTGGAGAAAGAAGATGAGAAATATTGACATCTTAAAAGATCTGAACATCAAGGAAGATTGGCTAATAAACATCATCCTTTCTCGGAAGCTGAAATATTTTTGTCATATCAAGTGCCACGACAGATTGGACAAAATTATAGCAGAAGGCATGGTACCAGCAAGGAGGGACAGGGGCCGACCGACACGAAGATGGGCACAGGATATTAGTGATTCCTTGAGTATGAAAGTACATGAGGCGGGAGAACTGGCGAGAGACCGAGTTTCTTTCAGGCAGACTGTGATGAGAGCGACGTTCTGCAAAGGACCTGTACACGATGATGATGATATTTTATTGAAGCATGACCTCATAAATATAAAGGATAAGAAAGCGAGTGAAGGAGAGTGCGTGTTTGTGTGCCTTTCGTTTTCATGATAAATCAAAAGATGATGACTACTTGCTCCATTCTGTACCTACCTGATTCGTCTCCCCATGTCTAACGCAGATCAGTCTTAACACAACAGTTCCCCAAAACCTGCACCCAGAGAACTTGTCTTCCACACACAAGCCTAGGCGACGGCAGCTCGGACTTTATCAACAACCTGCAGAGAATCGGTGTCCATGCTGTGCCATGCTCTCAAGATGTAGTGTCCGCTTACTCCTAGTTATTCTGCAGGTATGTATCCATTTTGAAAATTATGACTAGGAAAAAAAAAATAGTACCAAAAGGCATAGAACCAGGAGGGAGGGGCAGGGGCCGACAAACCCAAAGATGGGCACAGGATATAAGTGGCTCCTTGAGTATGAAAGTACATAAGGCGGGAGAGCTGGCGAGAGACCGAGTTTCTTTCAGGCAGGCTGTGGTGAGAGCGACGTTCTGCAAAAGAGCTGCTACATGATAATGATGATGATATATCTGTTTTGAATCTGTTTTACATGCACACATACACACACATATATATATATATATATATATATATATATATATATATATATATATATAGATATATATATATATACACACACACACATATATAATATATATATATATATATATATATATATATATATATATAAATATATATATATATATAATATATATATATATATATATATATATATATATATATATATAAACACACCCACACAACATTACCCACAGAGTGCCGATTGATCAATAAAATATAGGTCTAGCCCTATATGCCCACATACGCCCGATGGTGTGGAAAAGGGGCTGTTTACTTTACATATATACATGCGCGCGCCTACACACGCACACAGCAGTAAATACGCTTTGAGGAATTGCAGCTGTATCAGTTTGTGTGTCGACACCCTGCCATACCATGACAAAAGGTTGTCAAGAATCTGTTTGCTCTGTCTATCGCTGTCTCTGCTTCCACAAATCTTTCCAGCAGTCACAACATGCTCCAGTTTCCCTCCTCTCATAACATGACCACATAATGGTGACTGTCTCTTTCTGATGTTTGTGATATGTTGTCTTCTTGGATAGTTCTTGACAGTCAGACGATTGATTGGATAGTTGAATCTTTGACAGTTGGGCGATTGATTGCATAGCTAAACTTTGGATAGTTGGACGACTGATTGGATAGTTAAATATTGGATAGTTGGGCGATTGATTGAATATTAGAATCTCGGATAGTTGGACGATTGACTGGTTAATTGAATACTGGATAGTTGGACGATTGACTGTATAGTTGAATCTTGGATAGTTGGGCGATTGATTGGATAGCTGAATCTTGGATAGTTGGCCGTTTAATTGTATAGTTGAATCTTGGATATTGGGCGACTGATTGTGTAGTTTAATCTTGGATAGTTGGGCGATTGATTAGATAGCTGAATCTTAGATAGTTGGACAATTGACTGGATAGCAGAATCATGGTTATTCGGACGATTGATTGGATAGATGAATCTTGGATAATTGAAACGTCTCTCTCTCTCTCTCTCTCTCTCTCTCTCTCTCTAGCTCCCTTGTTCACGTCCCTTTATTTTTCACTTTTTTCCCTGCCTTTAAAGAGCTTGTTTTAATGATGATGATGATTATGGGAAAAATATCTACTGTGCATATTTAATGATTTTAAATATGCTGTTTTACTTCTGATTAAAGAAAATATGCTCTACATTTGTAGATTGTTGTTGGCTGCACTCTGACAGCAGTATCTACGTATGTACATCTGTTTATACCGGCAATGCGACTCCGAGAGAAACCATTCTGGGCAGGCGTACCGGTACGTACAATCAAGCTTCTATTTCTCTCTATCTGATACAGTAACAACGCCCCCTACCGTGCAGACGTCACAAAACCTTGTTTATGTGTGCCATGCTGCAAATTATGTTTATGAATTAGCTAATGTTGCTGCTCTTCTAGCTACTGTTGATGCTGCAGTTTTTTTTTTTTTTTGCTGTTGGAAATGTAACTTTTGTAAATGTTACTGTTGTAAATGTTACTATTGTTGTTTCTTTAGCCATCATATGTGTTGTTCTTGTTGGGGCTACTAAAAGCTAGTTGCGTATACTTTTACAGGTCGTTGCAGAACCAACCCTAGCATTTTGTTTTTCTAACTGCTTTTTGTGTGTGTGGGTCCTAGACAAATTGTACGTTCAGGAGTTTGCCATTGCTACTGAATGATCAGCTTACGGCAGCAATGTCGAAACCAACGCAAGACAAATCGTCCGCAGTTAGGATCGAACCCTGCACCCCTAGCATTACGAAGCGAGTTCGCAACGCCTAAGCCTTGGGTGACTATAACTGGCATATGTATTGAAAAAGGTATCGACAAGAATGCCCCGTGCAGAGTCGCAAGCATCGATTCAGATTTATCAGGTAGTTTGCGTCATTTAATTATTATCTCCAGGGCATGAACATGTAGTAGAAAACGAAAATGCAGACTGGTTGTTTCTGCACCACTTGACGGTGAAATTTTACGGTTTTGATTTTGACTCGAATAAAAGTGGAAATTCAGCAATTAATTCAAGATAATGCTCGGTCAGAGGATTTGATTATTTACACGGACGGTTCAGTGTCAAGAGGCAAAAGAAGTGCTTGGGGCTTCTTAGCAAAAGTTAATGATCGACGTTTGGTGCAGGAGAGCCTAGCAAATGATTCAACAACATCCAGCTTAAGAATGGAGGAGGAGGCGGTCACTGCAGCTTTCCGCTGGCTAGAGAACACGACACACATACACATCGTGATTGTAAATGATTCAGAAAGCAAGCTGAGGAAGATCAGAACAGATATGCTTTAGTGCAGAGTGGCATGCTTCGCTGCGGAGGACACGGGTGAGGAGTATTGTGTGGATTTTTTCACCGGGTCACGCCGGTGTGTTGGGAAATGAACAGGCGGACAGACTGGCTGGCTCTGCACAACTTGGTGGAATACTGATACATGATAGGGCAGACATGGTTAGTGCCTTGTGGGAGAGCGTGTACAATTCGGAGGAGCAGATGGATCACCACATTCTGGTGAGATTGATGCAGTTGGGGGTGACGAGAGGTTCTGGCAAAAGCTCGAGGCTCAGAGGAAAGGCAAGACGGACGTTTAATCAGAAAGCTACTGGCACTATTAGTATCGGAACTCTTCGCTGGCTGCTGAAGATGGGGACGGAGCGCTTATGGGAATGCCCCGAGTGCTGTGATGTCGGTTCTTGAATCAAATCAAATCAAATCGAATAAAAGTAGCCTGCCAATGGAAGTGATAGCGGTGACAAAAGCATTGATGTGGCTAGAGACACATAATTTTTCCCGTGTGTGACTTTTAAGTGATTCCGTTGGGATGCCTAAGAAGATAAAGAGGATGGATAATAAGAAAATGGTTGGAGTCGTTGGGGAAATCTCATCTAATAGAAATCAGTTTCATTATTGTGCCAGGGCACTCTATGGTAAGAGGAAATAAACGAGCAGATTGGCTTGCTGGCATGGCCACGGTGGGTGCATGAAAAGCAATGGAGCGGTGCAACATTCTCAATGCTTTCAGGGAGGCAACACTAGAAGATGATATAGTTGACGTCAATGAATCGGCAACATTTAAAACACTACAAGAGCTTCAGATCAAAAGAGGTGTCATCAAACATGAACACTATACAGGTAGCCATATAAGAATAGCAAACCAACACAGAACTGGTGTTATCAGTCGCCACACGTTGCAGGACATACTGAAGATGGTATCCGAGCACCTATGGACTTGTCCGATGTGCATGGATTATAATCTGTCGATTAACTAACTTAACAGCGAAATCATGCATGACAAGCTAAATGTGGTCAAGACCCTTTGAGAGTGAGCAAACGGTGAGCTGGAACAGAAGAATAACCAGGGTCTAGAGAAAATGGTGCAGCAAAGTGTGACAAGCGGATCATCTAGTCGACACTCAACATGGCAAGTAAAAGTGAGGGGAAAGGCAAGAAACGCTGAGAGGAAAAGTTAAAAAACACTAACAGGAAAGGCAAGAAACAGTGAAAGAAACGGGAAAAACACCGAGGGGAAAGGTAAGAAACAATGAGAGGAAACGTATGAAACACTGAGAGGAAAGGCAAGAAACACTGAGAGGAAAGTCACGAAACACTGAAAGGAAAGGCAAGAAACACTGAGAGGAAAGGCACGAAACACTGAAAGGAAAGGCAAGAAACACTGAGAGGAAACGTAAGAAACACTGAGAGGAAAGGTAAGAAACACTGAGAGGAAAGGCAAGTAACACTGAAAAGAAAAGTAAGAAACACTGAAAGGAAAGGTAAGAAACACTGAAAGGAAAGGTAAGAAACACTGAAAGGAAAGGTAAGAAATACTGAAAGGAAAGGTAAGAAACACTGAAAGGAAAGGTAAAAAACGCTGAGAGGAAAGGTAAGAAACACTTAGAGGAAACATAAGAAACACTGAGAGGAAAGGCAAGAAAAACAGAGAGGAAAGGCAAGAAACACTGAGAGGAAACATAAGAAACACTGAGAGGAAAGGCAAGAAAAACAGAGAGGAAAGGCAAGAAACACTGAGAGGAAAGATAAGAAACACTGAGAGGAAAGGCAAGAAACACTGAGAGGAAAGGTAAGAAACACTGAGAGGAAAGATAAGAAACACTGAGAGGAAAGGCAAGAAACGCTGACAGGAAAGGTAAGAAACACTGAGAGGAAAGATAAGAAACGCTGAGAGAAAAGACAAGAAACACTGAGAGGAAAGGCAAGAAACACTGAGAGGAAAGATAAGAAACACTGAGAGGAAAGGTAAGAAACATTTAGAGGAAAGATAAGATATACCGAGAGGAAAGATAAGAAAAATTGAGAGGAAATTCCAGAAACACTAAGAGGGAAGGCAAGAAACACTGAGAGGAAAGGCAGGAAACGCTGAGATGAAAGGTAAAAAACGCTAAAAGGCAAGGTAAAAAACGCTGAGAGGCAAGGTAAAAAACGCTGAGAGGAAAGGCAAGAAACACTGAGAGGAAAGATAAGAAACACTGAGAGGAAAGGCAAGAAACGCTGAGAGGAAAGGCAAGAAACACTGAAAGGAAAGGCAAGAAACACCGAAAGGAAAGGCAAGAAACACTGAAAGGAAAGGCAAGAAACATTGAGAGGAAAGGCAAGAAATCTCGAAATCCGAACATAATCCGTTCCGAGACGGCATTCGAATTCCAAACCGTTCAAATCACAAGGCATTTTCCTGATTAAGAATAATAAAAATCGAATTAATTTGTTCCCGGGTCAAACAAATTCAAATTTTGAAATGTATTCTCCTAAAATGCGCTGTGCATAAAGATCAGGAACAGCGCCATTTGGCCTAAAGCGTGGAAATGAACAGTCTACATCCCTCTCCCAAAGAAAGGAAATCTGAATCTATGCTCTAACTACCATACTATGGCATTAATAAGTCATGCTAGCAAAATTATCTTACAAATTATCATGACGAGGTTTGAAAGCAAACTACAATATGAGCTACTTGAAGCACAAGCGGGTTTCCAACAGGCTAGAGGAACTAGGGATCACATCTTTATAGTGGGAGTTTTATTTGAAAAATCTAGAGAATGCAACGTAGATCTTCATTCTTGTTTCATTGACATTTGATTGTGTCCAACATCGGAAATTATGGAGTATTATGAGAAGTATGGAGTTTCCAGCGTATTTTGTGCATTTAATTGAAACTGTATCAAGAACAACAAGCAGCCATCAGAGCAGCTGGTGAAAGTCAGACTGGTTCGAGGTGCAAAGGGAAGCGGCACAGGGTTGCATTCTATCACCATACCTATTCAATATATATGCTGAGAAAATAATGAGAAATATCAAAAATGACCAAACTTGTGACAGTTATTAAAAGGTCATAATTGGTGGCATCCCTATTCAGGAACTTCGCTTTGCAGATGATAACACAGTCCTCCTTTCGAACAGTTTAAAGGGGGAAAGAAAATTTAATCAAATCTGTCCACACACACACACACACAAAAGCAAAGATCAAAACCTATTCTTGAGTTTAAAGTAAAAGTAAAGGTACCCATTTTAGGCTGGGTCGACCGGCGACGCCCCATATCATGATAAAAATACATGCAGCCAGCAGTGGTTTTCGATCGCAGTACGTTGGAATTATGAGTCGGACTCAGAACGCTTAAGCCAAGGACGCCGTCTTGAATTCAAAGCCAACGAAAAAAATGTCCACAGAAAAGAAGGAGGGGCAGGGAACGACCAACACGAAGAAGGGAACATAATAAATGTAAATCCTTGAATATGAAAGTACATGAGGCGGAGAGCTGGCGAGAGACCGCGTTCTTTCAGGCAGACTGTGATGAGAGCGACGTTCTGCAAAGGAACTGCTACATGATAATGATTCTCCTAAATACGGTACATTGAAATATAGTTACACATGCTGATCATGTATGAATACAAATCTAAATAAATAAAATAAAATATAAAAACATAGTATTTACTAAACATATGTAAATGCTGAAGCTATTGTGTTGTCAGCTCAGTCGAGTGGTCAGCACGTACCAGGCGTTCGGTTTCTAAGGCGATTTTCGAGTTACGACAAAAAGTGTAATTACAATTTTCATTCGCGTTCAAAGTTGTTCGAGTTTCGAAGCTTTTGAATTCCAAGGCAACAGTGAATACATATAGAGCGACGACTCCTCCACTAGCCAGAGTTACATAAAACCTCCAGTTCCTCTATGTAAAAGGCGAAGGACATTTGTCTACGCCTTTAGGCTTACTGGGTTTATAGTTCCAGACCTGTATGTTATAGACCAATCGGCACTTGTTGGGTGATGTAGTCAGCATCACGCCGGCCGCCTTTACATTCCAGGACTGCACCTGGTACCCACCCAGGGTTGGGTCGAGCTGGGAGCCAAGATCATTTACTTCCTCTATGCAGACCGAGTCATAATGAAATCATAATATTATCAAATCAACTCCCCAGCTTCTTCTAGCCGGTTTCAGTGGTATATTTTACATTGAAGGAGACAAGAAGAAAGAGGAAGGATCCACAATTCTCTTTATATTGAAAGTAAGTGGATGTTGTTGTTGGAAGAGGAGAAGTATTGAGATTTTTCATGATCTGGAAATGGTGAGAGAGGGGGTGTGAAAGAAAGGGGAGGGAAAGAAGGGGAAGGTGGACGTTCAGCATTCGCTCCGTCATTCATACGGATCCAGATTCGACATAGACTCGAACAAGATCGAAATCCTATCTCTCTAAAGACATTATAACAATGCCGATGCGATCCATATGCCGCAGATCGATACCTAAGGCACAGCTAACCAATAGTAAAGTCAGTAAAGGGCCCTTTTACACGCCTTTAGGCGTATAGGGAATACAGGGCTAGACCTATATTTGTATAGACCAATCGGCACAAGATGGGTGATGTGGTCAGCATCCCGACGGCTTTCTTTACCTTCCGGGGACTGCACCCGGTATCCACTCAAGCCTGGTCGACCTGCGAGGCAACGTCATTTTTGAAAATAGTTTCCGAAACGCCCAGAAAAACCTGTGAGTTACTGAAGCTATTTTAATAGTCTCGAGGCTTCTGTAACAAATGACATTTCCGTCCTAAGCAGATAGATCTACTTATTTAACTCTGTCACTAGCAGGCAGATACAACTTAGTCTAATCTCTTATACAAAGATTCCACTTCAAGTATTACATTTGCGTGTCAAATTGAATATGGGCTTTTTTTCTGTGGTACGGAACGGAACGCATTACCTACACCTTTTCTTATGCATCCACTTTTTTTCATCGCTACTTTAATAGACGCTGAGATGTAAGCATGTTTTAAAGACACTTTGTGGAGTGTACAGGCCCTAGAAAAATAAAGGCACTGCTCGGAATAGTAGTAATTTGAGAGGCAGGACAATCGGGTGCTTTATTAATACCCTACACCCAGATGACGTCACAGAACAGTCCAATATTTTAGAGGGTGGTAAGACTGGGTTTTCCGGCTTTCTGATGCTTTTAACTACCCCAAAACATATAGAACTGGTCCTAACCCTAACCCCCACCTATGTCCCACGAGAGAATGCAGCCTAGGTCCAACGAGAGAGTGCAGCCTAGGTCCCACGACTGCATCCAGCCTATCTACCACCCCCTGAAATATTAGACTGTTCCGTGACCTGTGGATTTCCCCTGTTTGGGGTAGGATATTAATAAAGCACCGACAATCGCAGTCAGAATTTAAAAAAAAAAAATCTCATACAAAGCACATTTATTCCTAGCTTATGCTACAAGTGCCAGACGCGGTCAATTACAGCAAGCCAGACCAGATAATTAGCACCTACAGCAATTAGATATTTGGGAAATGCACAAGTGATCAGACGAGATTAAATTAGCAATGAAGTCATGAGAGAAATAAGTCGGCGCCGAGCCAGATCTAAATTACATAGAAAGAAAGACAGCAGTTAATTCTCGTCGTCCCCTTGTGGGCTGCAATTTTTAGTTATTTTGAAGCCTTACCCTGGCTTTTGCCGGGGGCCCTACATGTAGCCGGGGTTTGAATATGGCCTACGGCTGAACAGGGTTTCTGAGACCTCTCCACGGGTGATCCTCATCCGCATGGTGGCACTTTGTGTCACAGGGTTTTCATCGCTTTTTTATGGCGATTGGGTACAACTTACATACATACATACAGAAAGACAGCAAGCACGTGTAATGGTTTGTTCTATTAGACAGAAGGCTTTATGTTTATTGTTTATGTTTAATTGACAAATCAACATCCTGGCACACAGGTGTAACCCAAAAGTGCTCCGTTCTACTTCTAACTCAAGCCTGAGTCTGAAGAATCAGCGCAGTCCACGCACTCCGTTGCACCGGCGATGATCCTGAAAAAAACTTTGGGTAGATTTGTAACTCAAAATTGTGCCCGGGCAGCGCCGTTAGGCTACTCTTTTAGATTTCCAACTGCCAATGGATTTTTTTTTTTACGTGTGCAAGAATACACACGGGTGTCCGATCTTACTACCCAGAGACCAGGGGAAATTACTAGAAGTTCACGTTAAAAAAATCCCAGCCTTTATCGCGGCTTGAACCCAGGGCCTCCAGCACTCGAGGCGGACACCATACATCGAAAAAGCCTTGTGACACCATACCATACAAGGCATACACCATAAGAGGAGATTGACGAAGATCACGAGGCAGACCAAGAATAACAGAGAAAGAGAGAAAATCTACTGCAGCACGGTGTGTCCATGCTGGAAGCCGCAAGAACCGCAAGAAGCAGAAGCGTATATCTTCCTCGACACGCGAAGCGGTAAAAGAGGGAGTGAAGAAGAAAAAAAAAAAAAACACAGAAGGAGATAAAGGGTTCTTTTTTAATATCTTACCCCCGGATGACGTCACAGGACAGTCCAACATTTTAGAGGGTGGTAAGACTGGGTTTCCCGGCTTTGTGATGCTTTTAACGACCCCAAAAGATCTAGAACTGACCCTAAACCCAGCCCACCTACGTCCCACGAGAGAGTGCAGCCTAGGTCCTACGACTGCGTGCAGCCTATCTACCACCCCCTGAAATATTTAGACTGCCCCATGAACTGTGAATTTCTCCTGTTTGGGGTAGGATATTAATAAAGCACCAGATGAAGTAACATTTTCAGCAGCGTAGCAAAACAACGAGATAAGGAGATAATAAATCAATAAGCCTGAATCAACAACGAAGTGCGAGTTGTTACTGACTGAGTTAACTATACCTGCCATTGTGCTTTCCATATGTCTATGGGGAATTCCCTACTGTTTTGATTGTATTCCACAGACAGCCTGCAGCGCCCTAGCGGCAGTCTCAGTATTTGTATGTATTACTGCGGCTGTGTTTTGTGGCATTCATGTTGGCCAGCTGTTCACATATGCCTACTGCAAGCATATGATCAACGGCTGTGTATGCTATGAGACACATGGCTCCCAGAGCAAGTACGTTATTTTGACGTTTCTGTTTCGTTTATGTCTGTTTGTTTTGCATGTACTGCTAAGAATCGATGTAAAAGAAATTGGGGAAATGCCACATATTAATCAGAAAGACATCAAGCAGTGTGTGTAGTGTAGACAACGTTCATTGTGAAGACGGCACATAATCTGTTTGATTTGTTGTAATGTGTGTGTGCGCGCGCACGCGAGCATGTGTGAGTCTGTTTGTAATGTCTGTTCGTTAAATAAATGTCTTTTAGACTGATTGTTATATGTCTGTTCGTTGTGCGGCTATTTTATAATACTATGACAAAGAATGCCCTAGTACTATCTGCCACAGCGAGCCACACTAAAACATTACAACGGGTATAGAGCGAGCGGAAGACCTCGGAAAATATGGAGTGATGGCATTAAAAACTGCCGTAAAGGAATGAATATCAGTCTTAATAGTGCTCTTGACAGTGCTCATCGACGAGTGTTACATCTCTCTCCGATACATAACTGAGGTACAAAGTGGAAGAGAAGAAGAAAAAGAAAAAGAAGACAAAAAATGACCTTCAGCGACACAAGTGCAGCCGGGTGTACTAGTCACATACCAACAAAAGAAAAGAATCATTAAATTGATAAGGAAACCACCAGCCCCAGCACAAGACTACTATTTTATTATGGACAGATCAGAACAAGTCATTATCCTCCGTCTCAGAACAGGGCACAACCGATTACGTAATCCCAGGTACACAAAATTCAAAATAGCCGTGTCAGCCATGTGCACCTGTGGAAAGGTGCCCCAGACAGCAGAGCATGTACTCCAGGACTGCACTGAATTTAACACATCAAGGCAAACCTTTTGGCCAGAAAGAACAACAGTGGAACCGAAACTCTATGGACCACTGAAAGAACTAACAACGACAGTGAAATTTATACATGAGGCAAAATTGCTGATATAGACAACTTATTCCAGGCGAACGAAAGAAGAAGACGAAGAAGAAGATGACCTTCAGCAAGAGACAAAAGATGCCAACGGGTAGACGTCAGTTACAATGGGGAAAGGGGAGGGAGTTAGCCTAAAGGGTTGCTGGCGAGAGACAGTAGCTGATTATCTTCTTGTTCTCTGTTCGCCGGCTGTAAGCTCTGGCAGAAAGTCCTGGTTGTTCGTCCATTTGGACTTTGGCTTTATGCCATGGCCTGGGTTTTGCGTGTACATCCGTTTTACTGTCTTATTTGTGTGCAGTTGTTTGTTCCCTGCCGCTCAGGCAGATGCACTTCGATTTCTTATTAATGATTGACGTAAAATTGCCCTGTCTCAATTGACCATTGAGATTAAACTGCTTATTCTGTGGCTCAGTTTAAACTGTTTGCCACGACTTGATTACCGTTTGTAACTTTATTTTCCCTCGATTATCAGCTTGCAATGTTTATACTCACTTGATGACAAACGTAAAAACCTATTGTCCTAGTCCTTTTGAGAAAAAAATGTAAAAGGTTGTCGGATTTCAGACTGCTGTTAGTCGAGGCTGCTAACAGTCTCCGCCTATATTTGTGGTCTGGGTTATTTGCGTCACTTTCGTGACTAAATTCTAGTATTGCGCCATTTCTGGGCGTGATGCTTCCTTTCGAGTCAGACCGCTCGTCCTCCACCCTGTAGTTAGCTGTGTGTTTCTTTCCGTTTCCTATTTGGTTTTTCTAAAAACTTATTCCCTCGTGTTGACTTTTCTGCTTTCGCCCATACAAGGGCAGCTGGCACATTGAGTTGTGGTTTACAGCTATGCTATGATATCTATGCCATTCGGTCCAGCAGATGCGATTTCAGCAAACCCCTAACTAAGTAATCGCTTTTCTTCTTCTTCTTTTGTTCGCTTGAATAGATTATCTTTTTTTCTGCAATGTTGTCTCTAGTGAAAGCTTCACTGTCTGTTGTAATTCACTCAGCGACTCGTAAAGTTTGGCTTGCACCGGTGTTTCTCTTAGCCAAAAGTTTTGCCTTGATATGTTGTATTTGGGACAGTCTTGGAGGACGTGATCTGTTCTCTTAGGTGTCAGTCCACATGTACACAAGGCTGAATCGCCTATATCGCTTTCTACATGTCTGTTACGAGGCAGTATGTCTATTCTTTTGTCCCTTATTATTGTTAAAACTGAAGATGTGAAGGTTGAAAACTGAAGCTTATTATTGTTAAAACTGAAGATGTCAGTCGAATGCATTCCAATATTTGTAACTAATATTTAATTGGTTTTGATGATGTTTATATTATGCAACCTGTAAGACTTACATTTTTGGAACAGGCTTAATATTATACTCTTTAAAACGTTCAAGTAATGTCAGTATAAATTAGAGCACATTCCAGCATTTGTAATTAAGACTTAGATATTGTAATTTTTTCTTCTTCTTCTCTTTTTTGTTCTTTTGTTTCTTTTCTATATTTCTCAAATTTTTAATTGTGCATTCCTCTTTTTATTATTATTATTATCATTTATTAATATTATTATTAACTATGAAATGAGGTAAAAATGAAACATTGTATGAAAGGAGCAGAGTGGAAGGGCAGAATGTTAGACGGGCCTGCGTGCCCAATTCTTAACCCTTTGAAAATAAAGTTTGTTCGTTCGTTCGTTCGTTCCCTCAAAATGCTGCCGTCAGAACAACCCACACGAGAACCCTGTGATATCTAATTTTCAAAACAATATTTTCCCCGTAATTAATTTAAATAATGCGGACACAAACAATACATTGCACAATTTATTGCCAGGAATATTTCAGTGTATCTCGTGAGGTGCGTTATTACAAAGTTACAACAACATGAAATTAAGCATAACAAACAGAATAAACCCAACTAAAATACGAATAGTTTCTTTCGACACATCGTGGTGTGTTTTGGCAGCCGGAAGTTCACTGTAGTCACGTGACTTACTAAGGTAACTGCAGAGTTGTTTACTACTACTTATTTATCAAATTACAATCTATTTGCATGTTGATAACAAACCTAACCTGGACATCTGCTTGTATTCCAACAGATCTCATCTGTATACACCAGTAGAAGACTGCTTCGTGGTTTACTGCCACATCAAGATTTTCCTCATCACAATCGGCAGCCTTGCCATCCTAGGTGGCTTCTCTGCTTTATTCTTCGTTATCTCGATCTGGAAATCAAGATATGGGGAAATCAATGCGGCCGTGGAATTGGGGGAATGACATAAGACAACTAACTTCCAACTTTATTAACGGTAGCTAGGACTTAGGAGTCACTGCGACTTAAATGGGATCAACAATTTCTTGAGTGGCTTTCGTGGCCCCATTTTGAATGAACAAAAGAAACTACTCACTGTCGCCTTAAAACAGCAGGCGGTAAAAGGCGGCTAGTTAAGGTTTGTTGCAAGCGGATGTTTTCGGTCGAATGGCGCCAACATAACGTCCTGGTTGTTAACTACAGCACTATGTGACAATCAACCTTTTAGAGGTGAAATCAAAAAAAGAAGAAGAAGAAGAAGAAGCAGAAGAAGAAGAAGGAGAAGATAAGGAGGATGCTGCGGGAGAGGAGACGGAGAAGAAGAAAAAGAAAAAGAAGAAGGTTGAAAGTCTTTCTTTTTCCGTGGAACTGGAACCATGGGACAGATGGAGGAATCACCAGGCAGTATGCGTAACATGATCAGCCGGTGCTCAGTGCGGACAATTTTCCTGTCACACCTAAATATTATTAAACGGACAAAGAAGATAACATAATAATTTTTTTTCAGTTTGTTTACCCACACACCCTATCCAGTGATGATATTCGAGGCGGGCTACAACCCTTCAACCGCCTCCGGTATTCCCAGTGCTAGCAGCAGTTGCATGTACCTAGTGCAGCTAACCTCTGTTGTAGGATTGCAGACGATTTGTTTTCTGTTATACATCGTTTTCTCTAAAATGTGGCCGTAGCATTGAACAATGTAACCAGTTAAACACGTTTTGTCATCCTACAAACTTATTGTTTCTATTCATTGACAATTATATCTTTTATCACCAAGAAATGGCAGCGACATATTTTAAAGACGACTGCTACCGGCTCGCTAGCGTGGTGGGCTAAACCGGATTGCGCGGTAACCGGGTGACGAACTCCTTGTGGTCCGGGTTCAGGCCCGCGGGTAGGCAGAAAAGCCACATTATCTCCCAGATTTACGGTATTTAAAATGGAATCAAGGCCGAAGGGTTGCGATATCCATAATACCGAACCTAAGGGTTAACAACTCATGGCTTCTGGATACTAAAAAAAAAAAAAAGACAAATGCTGAGAACGCTCTGGACAGATAACAAGAGTAATAAAGCAGGGGTCTGAGATTTTGAACAACGGATCAACATCATGGCACACGGGTAGTAACCCATTAGTGCCCCGTTCTTCTTCTAACTCAAGTCTGAGTCCAAAGAAGCTCAGCATAGTGCACATGCTCTGTAGCACCGGCGAGGATCCTGGAATACTTTGGGTAGATTTTTAACTCTAAATTGTGCCCGGGCAGCGCCTTAAGGCTACGGTTTTCGATTTCCAACTGCCAAGGGATTTTTTACGTACGCAACAATGCACATGGGCGTCCGATCTCACTACCCAGAGACCAGGGGGAATTACTAGAAGTCCAAGTCCACGTGACAAAATCCCAGCCCTTACCGGGGATTGAACCCGGCAACTCTTGCACTCGATGCGGACATGATGCCTCGAGACCACGCAGTCCCCTTTAAATGAAACATATCTTGAAACAGATTCACAAAGAGAACTAATTGCCCCTATCAGAAAGAGACAATCCAAATTCGTTGGTCATATCATTAGATGGAGAAAACTGGGGATAACTCGATGGTGGAAAAGTTACAGGGAAATATATTTTTCCCGTCCTTTTTAGGAGGAATTTTTCGTTATTTGAAGCCCTACTCTGGCTCTTACCAGGGGCTGCAATATAGCCTTGCCGTAAATATGGTCTAAAGGCTGAACGCGGTTTCTGGGACATCTCCACGGTGATCCTCAACCACATGGTGGCACATTGTGTCATCGGGTGTTTATCGCTTGTGTGATGTTCTGGGGGGGATAGAAAGTCTATCAGACAGTGAGTAGGTTACAGGGGAAAAGAAACAGAGGAAGACCGAAAGAAAAGATGGTGGACAGTTTAGTCTCATAATGCCGAAGAAGAACATTCACTGGAAATGTTTTTTTTTTTTTAAATATGGATATAAAAAAATATTTTTCATTAACTTTTAAATACAATTTGTGTCAATGACATTTGTATTTACTTAAGCTTGAATCAGTGTGTTTATGTGGTTTTTGGAGTTTGTCATCCTGTCGTCTCCTTGTGAGGTGCAATTTTGCTCTATTTTGAAGACCCACCCTGGTTCCTGCCAGGGGCCGTAATAAAGCTCGACCATAATTATGGATCCTCATCCACATGGTGGCACTTTGTGTTATCGTGTGTTTATCGCTTGTGTGATGTCCTGGTGGGGTAAAAATCTACTACTACTACCATTTTGGAGTTTGTTTCACTGTATGCTGCCATATCATAGTAAAGTAAAGAACCCTTCTCCACGCCTTCATTCATGCTAGGCATATAGGGCTAGACCTATATTTTATATAACAATTTGAACTCAGTGGGTGATGTGATCACCATCATGCTGGCCACCTTTACTTTCCAGGACTTCACCTGGTACCCATTTAAGTTTGGGTTATCCTGGGAGCCAAGGTCATTTTTTTTAAAAGTCTGACTCTATTAGGACCTGAACCCACAACCTTCAGATCCACATGCGAGCATCTAGACCAGTGTCTCTTAATCTTCCGAACACTGCGACCCTTGAATAGTCTCTCATGTTGTGGCGACCCCCAACAATAAAATTATTTTGGTTGCTACTTTATAACTTCAATAAATATGTGTTTTCTGATCGTCTTCGGCGACCCCTGTGAAAGGGTCGTGACCCACAGGTTGAGAACCGCTGGTCTAGACTTACAAACCATGCTGGCTCTTTGCTGTCACATCATGTTCAAGTGAGTTGAGTCAAGAATTGACATCACAGCACCCTGGGCATTCTCATGTGTGCTCGTTCTCATCTTCAGCAGCCAGCACAGAGTTCCAGTATTGATGGTACCGGTCACGATCAGGTTATATGTCCGTCTTACCTTTCCTCTGAATGTAGTGAGCCAGCCAGACCCTCTAGTTACACCCAGGTGCCTCATTCTCTCCATGCCGTAGTAATCTTCTTTCTCTACTGATTCTGTTGCTTGTTCCCAAAGGGCCTTGACCACATCTGCCTTGTATCTTCAAGTGAATATATCTAGATAGCATTGATAATGGACATATTAACAAAATGTTACAAATTGACAAATAAACCACCAAGGAAAAAATTACCCTGTTAACCCTCAAAATTGTAACCTTCTTTTGAGGTTTTACATCTACCCTTTAGGCCCCAATGGAGCATAGTCCCTAAACTAACTCTTGCCAAGTATTCCTATCCTTTGTTGTCACAGCTCATCCCATTTCCCTCATCATTTTAATTTCACTCTCTAGTGCACTTCTTCATGTTTAACTTGGTCTGCCTCTGTTGCTTTGACCCTACAGGTTCCAGTGGAACGACGTTCTAGTTATATCACTCTCAGGTTTTCTCAACCATGATTCTTATCCAATAGCTGTATATTTTCCTCGTCTCTTGATTCGCTGAAATTTGTTATTTTCTGACAATGCTATTTTTAGTGATTATATCATACAATGTAACTCATTCTGTTCTGCACAGCCATTAGTTATTGAATGTGTGTAGTTCAATTTAATACTTTGTATTATTATTATTATTAGTATGTGATTTGTGGCTATTTGGTCAGTGCTCAGTTCAAACCCTGCCTTCTTCTTCTTCTTTACGTCCTCTCTTTCCGCTTTGTGTGTCAAGGGAGATATAAGGTTCTGCTTCATGCTCTTCTGGCTGCTTCGACCATAGACACATGGTGGTGCTGTAGAGTTTGTCTGATGTTATCTTCCCCCCTTGTTCTTGGTCTACCTCTTGTTCTATGTCCCTCTCCTCTTTTGGTAGGATCCTGCCTGCTCATCGTTTAGTTGTTTATCATTGTTATCACTTAATCTTTCTAAAATAATCCTACTGAATATTCTGACAGTAAATGAGTCTCTTTAGATAATACAAAACAAAATAATAATAATAATGTATGAATGATCACAATTTAATACATGATATTTTAGCCACTGCGTTGTCTTCTAATAGACTGAAATGGTTGGGGCATATTAAGAGAATGTCAGACAGAGAAGTAAAAACTGTATACACAAGGGAACTGAATGGTCGTAGACCACGAGGCAGACCAAGAAGACGACGGAGAGATAAAGTCCAGACAGACCTGCCAACACTTGGTGTCACCAAATGGAAAGAGAAGGCCAACCAGAGAGATGAATGGAAGCGGGGGATATCTGCAGCTATGAACCTCAAAGGCTCGGAATGCAGAAGAAGATGTCGTTATATATTTCTGCAGAACAATAAGGAAAGAATACACACAAATAAACTAGAAGCCACAATTATCACCCCAGTATCAAAAGATGAAAACAAAAGAAAGAAAAAATAACAAACAAGGATTCAGGAACAGAAACTGTGTTTTACTGTTTATTAACCTGTCTTGTGATGTCAACCCTGCAATACAATGCCAGGCACAGATATTTTTGGTAGTATAATTTATGATCAGGAAAACACCCTTTTTTAATCGCCCCAATTATTCATTCTCTTGAGGTTAAGCTGGGTAACTGATAGAAAAAAGGACAACAACCAACACAAAAATTATTCTGAAACATAAACCTACATTTTACTGACTAATCAGCACTTCTTCTTCTTTACATCCTCTTTTACTGCATCAGTTTCTACCACAGACTCATCTTGTTACTGTAGAGTTTCTCCGCTGTTATCTGTTGTTTTTGGTCTACCACCAGGTCTCCATCCCTCTCTTCTTTTGGTATATGCCTTGTATGGTAGAGCATCAGAAGGCATTCTCTTCAAATGGGCAAACCATTTGATTTGCTGTCTCCATTTGTAATTTAGAATTGGTTCTGAGTCGACTTTATCTCATATGACCTCATTCCTGATTTTATCTCTTCTGGTCACTCTTGCAATCTTTCTCAGACACTTGGTAGGAGATATGGTCAGCATCAAACCGGCCACCTTTACTTCCCAGGACTTCATCTGGTACCCAGTTGAGGCTG